TGACATTGGGGCAGCCATCGTGGGGGCAGCTGGGCTGCGGCAGGTAAAGTTGAAGAAATACATGGTCTGCAGCTAACAGCTTCACCTGTGGGTCCGTAAACGCAGAGAAACACTCTCACGTGTGTAAAAAGACAGTGCCCACACTGCGTTATCCCTGAAAGAGCGAGACAGATGACAGAAAAGGGAGTCAATGTGCTGTGTTCTGCAGTGGAAAGTCGTACCCAGTGGCGGTGAATGAATGAAGTCGCGCTGTGTGTATCAACCCTGATCCATCCCAAGATAGTGTCATCCATGTGAATTTTGAATATCTGAAGAACAGTAGTGTACGTTATTTATGAATATGTACACAGGTGGCGTACTAAAAGCATCCGCAGGAGTAATGAGCACCTAATTGGGGGGGGTGGGTTACCCTGGTGAGGACAGGGATTGAGGTGGAAAGGGACATGGGCGGGACTGTAACTTTTGCCTGTCATGTTTTATGTCATTTTAAATAACAGAATCAAATGCCAATGTTGCAGAATATTAAGATTTGCTAAGGCTGCGTGGAGGGTGCATGGGTGCCTGTATAATGTTCCTAGATTTTTTATGTGTGAAATATTCCTCACACATGTACACACAATGAGGTCCGTGGTGGTGAGCTTATCTCTCTTCCCAGGGGCCATGGGAGACTTGGTACATGTGAATTTATCATGGATTTATCATGGTCCAAGACTTGGCCCTTGTTTTTGCAAACCCAGACTTTTTTTTTTATTCCGCCTGTTTGTTTTGTGCACAGGCAGCAAGAAATGGTTTCTGGGGACGCTGGCCTTCAGGGTCCCCATTGCCATCACATTTCCTCCTGTGTCAGACTCCAAGTCATAATCAGAACGTGGGTTGGGTGTTGAATTCCCAGGGTAATGTTGCCCTCACATCCCTCTCGAGGGACTCTGCTGGGAGCCCCCCTGCTGGCGTCAGAGGCCTGGGTTCCCTCCGCCTGCTGGGCAGCCAGAACATGACCGTCCAGGCTCAACACTGACTTTAACTTTTCTTTTTCAGTCTTTAAAAATGTGTATATTTCCCATTCTCTTCCATAATAGAAACCTTAATTACTAATAAGTTGCTTAGTATTTTCCTTACAAAATCTGAGTGAGATGGGCGTTTTGGGGAGATTGAGCAGTATTTACTGGGGAGTGAACTTGACCCTGCAGCCGGTCCTCTGTCCTCAGCATCGGCCTCCTTACACTTTGCTATGCCCGGAGGGACAACAAACCGCCTGCAGGCTCTTCCTCGGCTGACTTCAGATCAGCCACACTTTCTGCTCAGTTCTCAAAGAAAGCTTCAGCGTGAGAGTCCCCGGCAGCCAGCCCCCCGGGAGTTTTTACGTTGGGCATCTCGACCGCCCTGGAGCAGTCGAGACTTGCTTGGCAGGGATGTGGCTCTTTACACGCAAGGTTTATTGTTTCTTTTAAAGAAATCCTTCAGTCCCTCCCTGTTTCCTTGGCTCACTGTGAGGACTTGGGGTCTGAACTCATATACATACATACGCACACTCACTCTTACCTCGTGGGCTGTAACGTATTCCGAGGTTTTTACTTAAAAATCGGATACCTCTTAAATTTCCTGATCGCCAGTACCTAGCAAAACTTGGTGCCTAACGCGTATGTAGAGGAATTCTAATAAAATGATGTGAGCGTAGACACCCTGTGTGTCCTGAGAGCTGCTTCCAGAGCCCCTCTCGGCGTCCAAATGCTCACAGAAGACAGAAGACCAGGCTTCCCCCAGAGATGAGGAACGTGAGAGAATGGGACGCCCTCGGGTCGGTTACGTTGACTATGATTTGGGCATAAAAAAGGCTTCCTCCTCCCTCTTTTAATTTTCCCCGGGGTGCAATAAACCGTCAGGCATCTGCTGCGCCCAGCGCCCCACTGTGCGCCGGCTGTGCGGAGAGGAACCTAACTGCCGGGACAGCGGCTCCTGACTGGAAGCTTTATTTCATTAGCATCACAGACCAGTGCTAGGGGGTGACATTCTTTGGTAATTTGTTTTCGGTTGAACCTTGTAGATTCTTCCTTCGTCTAACAATCAGCTAATTCTTGAAAGAGGGGGAGGGGGCGAGACTGGCCTATCCGCCTGCGGGTCCTTGAAAACTTAGCCGCAGGGAGCGCCAAGGAGGTTGAGATTAACTGCAGAACGCATTTCCCCCCAACAGCAGTGATCTGGTATATTATGCCGTTTCCTCGTGATTAATTAAAATCAAGCTATCCAGATAGCTGTAATAAACAAAAGAAGCCCTTCCTGGGATTCTGACCTGATTGCTTTTTAATTGCACTGATTTTCTCGCTCATTTTCAAAATTTGCTTCTCAGAAGTGTTTTTCTGCCGTCGGGAGGGAAAACTGGCATCCACTGGCGGTTTTCCTTTAAGCTTGTCGTGCGGACTCGCTGGCCGTTGTCCCCAGCTGCCTGAGGCTCCGCTTCGGGCCTCCCCGCGTGCACGCTCAGGGGTTCCAGCACACCGCAGTCCTTGCCTGGTTTCCCATTGAAGGGGAGCACCTTCCTCTCGGGGCGCACGCCCTTCCCAGCTGTGCGTGGTAAACTGCCTGGAGCAGGACCGGTTTCTGTAAATGCGGTGGCCCCATGGGAGCTGTCCCTGGCGCCAGCGGCAATGTGTCCAACTGCTCGAGCTGCGGGAGGCTTGCAGGTCACAAATGC